TGCACCCATGAATTCTTGACATAAGCTAGACCTTGAAAATGACTTTCAGAAAGTAAATTATTTGTGCCGGCTGTTTGCAAGCTGATCAGCACACCCTTATCTGTTTTGTAGTGCTGCTTGACATTTTCTACTCTTATCTCTACCTGTTTTCTTGGCATTTCTTCCATAATTCTCTGTCCTCCCCCTCCCCAGTTGTTTATTTAGATTGGCTGAACCAGAACATGCAGTCAGAAATTCATATTGAAGGCTTGGAGGTTATCTTGGGTCTTCTCAAGATGTTAATGAGATTTAATCATGCTTAGGCTTGATGGTATTAATTGCATGTAATACATTGTCTGTATTTAAACGAAGTGTTTTCGTTTACATGTTTAGCAGAGTAATAGATCAAGTCTCGTATCAAGGTTGTACAGCCGTACACCTGCATTTATGGATTTGGATCCAACTGAGCAGTAATTGCTATTCGTGAAAGCAGTCAGCGTTACTGTTTGTCAATCCAAATTCCTTCCAGTTTTGGCAATACAACCCAGTAGCTGCTTCTTTCTAAACAGAGACCGGATCGACACATGCCGCAGAGTGAAGCAGTAGAGTGGACCTTACCACTGTAGGTAAGGGATGCAGTTTTGAATGTCTTGTAAAACAAAAAAAAGATGAGAAATCCTCCCTGCAGCTTAAAAACCAGTCCATTAGGAATACATACATCAGATCCATGGTGTGGCCTCATTTGGAATACTGTGTAAAGTTCTGGTATCTCCAAAAGGACATTGCAGAGCTGGAAAAAGTACAGAGGAAGGCAACCAAGACGATTAAGAGGTTGGAGCACCTTCTCTATGAGGAAAGGCTGAAGGGTCTGGGACTTTTCAGTTTAGAAAAGAGACAACTAAGGGGGGACATGATAGAGGTTTATAAAATTATGCATGGACTAGAGAGAGTTAACAAACAGAAATTTTTCTCCCTCTCTCAGAATACTAGAACTCAAGGGCATCCAATGAAATCGATGGGCAGCAGTAGATTTGGGACGGATAAAAGGAAATACTATTTCACATGGAGAGTGATTAAAATGTGGAATTTGCTGCCAGAGGATGCAGTGATGGCCACAGGAATAAACAGCTTTAAAAGGAGATGAGAGAGATTCGTGGAGGATAAGTCTATCAATGGCTACTAGCCATAGTGACTGAGGGGAACCTCCACATTCAGAGGCACTAATCCTTTGAATCCCAGAGCCAGGAGGCAATATTTATTTATTTATTTATTTAATTAATTCCATTTCTACCCCGCCCTCCCCGCATGCAGGCTCAGGGCGGCTTACAAGGCATATGGAGCAGGGGAAGGCCTCAGCCTCTGTGCCCTGTTACTGGCTATCCAGAGGAATTGGTTGGCAATTGTGTGAGACAAGACGCTGGACTAGATAGGACCACTGGTCTGATCCAGCAGGGCTCGTTTTCTTCTGTCCCTTCTGAGAATGTTCAAAAATACGATTCTTTCACCTGCATCCTAAAGTAGTACTGTCCGTCCTGTTACCTTGGGATTGTACTACTTCATTCTGCTAGATGCGTAGACCAAGCTAAAATATTTGATGGTCTGTTTTCTGATTCTCAGCTAGAGAACTCTTGACTTGGGTACTGCTCCCACCTTGATGTATAGTGAGATCAGGAGGGGTACACAGAATGCGGCTTCATTCTGTGTAGAATCTCCCTTACCTTGAACAGTGAGCCATATGACCATGCCCCCCCCTTTTGTAAACTACTTAGTTTTCTGCTCATACCATATCCAGCAGTTAATCTGCTTTATGAACTTTCTTAAATATGACGACAGGACGATCTGTTATCAATCATGTGAATTCTGGACTACATGAAAAGATACCTTATCACATAAGTAAATGGAGCAGGGTTTGAGGGGGACATTATTGGATCTGTCTGGAATCTGTTGGATCTTACAACACAATTATTGTGCTCTAGATGGAGCATGTTTATGGATGTTCCATACTGGTTAGATTGGTTATTAGAAATACTCTCATCATAAGATAATTTCTTATGGCATGCTCAGCAGAATTGCAGCGGGCAGCTGAAAATGAAACAGCAAAAATATAGTGTTAAGTGTTCTGAAATTTGTACATAATAAGAAGTCAGATTTGCAAGGATTTGTGAGAGGCATCTCATTTTGCCCTCCCCCACTATTTCTTCTCTTCTTCCCTAGAAACTCCCATACCCTCTCCTTCCTCTCCTTCCTGCCAGCCTACCTTTATCTGCCCCCCCCTTCAGCTTTCCCTCCTTTGCTCCCCCGGCAGCCTCTCCCCAGGCAACCTCTGGCTGAATTGTATGGTGCTGGCTGCCAGGCCCAGATGCACTGTAGGGAACCCACAGGGACTTAATGGGGGTACCTCACTATTCCCTTTATCTCCTTCCCCACCCTATTTCCTGTTTTCGTCTGCTTGACAACCCCCATATCCTCACATTACCCTGCTTCCTTCTCTCCTTCCCATCCACCAACCAACCAGTGTATTTTTAGCTGTCCCCTATGTTCAGCTGTATTTATTATTTCACTTGTACCCTGCTTTTCTCCATAATGAGGACTGAAAGCAGCTTACATTGTTGTCTTCTCTATTTTATCTTCACAGCACTCCTGTGAAGTAGGTGGAGAATGTGTAACTGCCTAAGGTCACCTAGCTGGTTCCAAGGTAGAGTGGGGTTTGGAACCTGGGTCTCCCATGTCCTAATATGAAATTCGGACCACCACACGGTTTTTGTGGGGTGGCTGCTGCTGAACTGTCACAAGAAGCCAGGTCTGGGTGAGTCATGCAAGATGGGGGTTAGCAAGTCAACTGGGGGTTGCTGCTAGGCTTGGCCCTGCTCCCTCAGTGACCGAGACAGCTGTGGAAGTGGCTCTCCCTCCTCCTCCAGCCTTTTACTGACAGAAGCCAAGGCTTCAGCTGGCAGCATTGTGGCCACTGAGGACATTAAGTACTTAAAGGTACATGCAGTGCTTCTGTTATTGAGGGGCTTTAACCCCAGTGTATTTGTTTGTTTTAATTTTCAGATTTGTCTGCAAACCTGGAGCTTTTCTCAGGTTTGTGGAAAGATCGGTCTTGTCTGTTCAGGGCTCCAGTATCTGGATTCAAGTACCCACCGATTTGGCCATGTTGATGAGAATTGGACATATGGATGATGAGTTGGGGCCTGTGATGATTCTCCATGAGGAGAAGCAGAGAGAGGAGGGTCTCTCACCTCCTCTCCTGGATCCATATGCCAGTCAGTTCCAAAGAGCTAGCGGGGCAGAAGAGCTTGACAGCTGTCTGCAGCAGGGCTGTTCACCTCTGCAGGATCTGGGATGGAGCAGCCTTGTGGCATTAACCACAACAGCTCCCTGGCTTGTCCCCTTCTGTGCGAAAGGTGGTGAGGGAGGCATTGTTAATAATCCAGAGCAGGTTGCAGAGCATTCATTCCCCACTCCTGAGTCTGGCCCGGGCTGAGCAAGCAAACGGCAGCTTTAGCTGCTAGGAAGACTGCAGAGATTTGTGGCTAGATTGAGCATGGGGAAATCTGGGGCTGGAGTTCTTTTTTGAGATGACCAGGCTAGAGATTCCTTTGGCTCAGTGCATGCACCCAAATGCTGGGTTCGCTGATATTTAGTAGATATGAAGCGCGGTCACTTGCCTCATGGTGCATTTCTCTTGCAGTATATACAGTTTTGTAATTCTCAAAGGTAGTTTTGGTCCCATTAAATGCTATTCTTTATCCCTTCACTGAATTTAATGTCAGGAAAGAAGGCAAGTAATTTGTGACCTTGCCAAAGTGCTCCAAAGGAAAGCAGTTTTGGTAATTGGATTTTTTTAAACAGTCGTGCATCTGAAATAATCATTGTCTTGACAAAAAGGGTACACAAGAAAAAAAGGAAAATAGTTGTATTAACTAAGGCAAGGTCTTAATTTATTTCTAAATGCCCCTAGATCTGTTTCAGAAACAGTTTATAGCAACTGTTACAGAAGATTGTAATTTTACAAATCAGGCACAGTACCATTTTTCATATTTTTGTGCATTATCTTGGCATTACAGCTGCAAAATGAAATGAGGTAAAAGTAAAAACAAAGGGTTCATTTTTGTGCATGGTTCCTTATAGTAGGAACATATTTATTTGCTTGCTTTTCATTGTTTCCAAAGCAGTTTCAGCAATAATTAATGGTTTGAATGTTTATTAAATTTTTCATAGTTTTTGGATCACTTAGGTTGAGCTCCTGTTATGAGGCTATCATAATAAATCAAAGATACAATCCCATTAAGCCAATTAATAGGTGGTGAAGAAAAGGGCTCTTGCTTTTTTGAAATTTCTGTGGATACGTAGGCCAAATATCAGTGTTGTGAATCTGATAAATGTAGCCTTTAAGCGTTTAATGTTTAACACTTGTTTAAAGAGCTGGCTTGACAGTTTTGAGCAAAGAAATGGCAGAGGCATTAGCTGAGTAAACAGGAAGCTCTAGTTGCCTGTAAACTGCTGTAAGGCAGCCCACCAAATTGTTTCTATGCAAAGCAAAGAGAATCTAAATTTATGAATGGTAAGGGCTACTGAAAAGCATCCTCCACAAATTCAAAAGGAAAACCAGGGGTTCACTCAGTTTAATTTAACCGGCAGGTCAGTTGCTTAAATGAAAGCAATCGATGCATCATCTAACCGAACAGAAGCATTTTCATGTCCAGTTGATATACTCTGCTGTTGACATCAGCAAGGATTAAAATGCTTAATTTTGGCTGCCTTGTGCCCTTGGTTTTAGATCCTCTTAAATGTAGTTTTTAGGCAGATCCAGTTTCATCATGATTTCCCGGACAAACCGGGAGAACTCCCGGAATGCCTGGGAGACCTCCCGGTAGGGTTGGGGGAAGCTGATTTTTGAGAGGGCAGTATGTCAGCTATGCTGCCATGGGGGTTGGGGAGGTCAGTTGTATTCTAATTGCCATTGCATTCCTTCTGTGCTTCTTTGCTGCTGTAACGCTTATCTCTATGTTCTGCAGATGGTGAGATGTTGATGTCTAGTTTCAAGGGAACTGTGGGAGCGCGCTGGGTTCCCAGCTTCAGCGCTAACGGCCGCAGGGCTTTCTCTCGCGCGTGGGAGTGTGGCTAATTGACCAGGGCAGTGGGGGGGTGCATACGAATACCCTATATCCTGTTATGCCCAGGGGCAGCTGCCATTCTTAACAGTGCCTATGTTAATGCATCTATAGCTCTTCAATAAAGTGTTACCTTTCCTGATAAGCATGTACTACGTTGTTGGCTGTGGGTTCTGACAGTGTGAAGGTAACAGCGTTCTTTGCGCCTTGGCATTTAGTCATGCCGGTGCTTGCTGTTGACCCTGACAGAAGGCCACATGACCACGGAAACGTCTTCGGACAGCGCTGGCTCTTCAGCTTGGAAACACCGCAACCCTAGAGTCAGATTTTACTGGCTTTCAAGCAAGGGAAACCTTTACCTATTATTACCCATGAGAACTGAAAAGATGAAGTCAAAAGAGAGACTCAAAGCTTTCAGAATATAAAAGAAGAGAAATCCGGTGGTAATAGAATTGGGGAAGGGGAAGGTTCATTGCTATTTAGCAAAAATAGTGGGGTGTGTTCTACTTTCCACCTGCGCCCCTCTAGTCCTTAACCGATTTCACACAAGAGCTGTGCCGCGGTCGCACCTCCCTTTGCCCCACTTCTATTGGTCAATTTCCCACTCGAAGCCGCGCAGCTGCATTTTGGCCCACGGCTTCACCCGATTTTCCATGCCGTTTCGTGATCCTCAAAAAACAGGATCACGAAACCACGGGGGAAATCGGGCGAAGTCGTGGGTCAAAATGCAGCCGTGCGGCTTCGAGTGGGAAATTGAACAATAGAAGCGGGGCAAAGGGAGGCGCGACCGCGGTGTTAGCCAAATTGCTCTATTATTTAATAGAGATGGAGAATTATAATTATTAATATGCAATTGGCTTATCTATAGAATCTGACCTGTGTATACCAGAGTTAGAATTCCCAAGAACCCAGGAACAGACACAGAAACTGGGTGGCTAAAATAATGATTTCTTTACTAAACATTCTCAAGCATACAAACAATATTCAAACACTCACACACACAAGCATCATGGCAGAAAAAACACACGGTCTGAGGCCATGTTTACGCTGGGATATACCCTATGGAAGACAATGCATACCTATGGGCGGTCCTGGGGGCTGGTCTCAGGTGAGAACAATAGATTACCTGGACCCATGATGAGTCCCAGGGGTGTGTGGCATCAGGATGGGCAAGGCCTAAATGTGACCAATGGGCTTCCAGAGAGGCAGGGTCTGGATTTAACAATAGAAGCCGGGTGCTGGGTGGCTAGTTGAATGGATTATCTGACCACTAATGGTCCTGGCCAGGGTAAACAAAAGGTGGGAGACAGTCCCTGATTAGCATTAGGAAGGATCGTTAATAATTTGAATGCTTGATTGGTTTATCCCAGTATCTTGAGGGACAGAGCAGGAAAGACAAGTATTCAAACAAAGAATTAAATAGACTTTAGAAATGTAGATACTTTACCTGCTAGAACTCATTGTTATTCCATAAACATAATCTCTGCTGGGTGGAGGGGGAAGACTGGAGGCTTGCTCTGAGGTTGCCTGTCACCTGAAAATGGAGACCCCTTTTTCAGAGCTGTGGCTAGCTCTGTGTTTCAGAACCAGGAGTGCCTTCCTTGGCCTGAGTTTTTGTGGGTCTCTGGGTCAAGTTAGAAGTGGGGTGCCCTTGCTATTGGGGCTACCCAAGAGTAAAAGGCAGCGCCTCTGGCAACAGCGGCGCAGCTCTTATGTGAAATCGGTCCTTGTGTTTTCTTTGTTACTTCTTCAGAAGCAAAGCGTCTTTCAGTATGCTAGGCTTGTTTATATGTAAAATGGTTGAAGTATTCACTGATCTTAGACTTTGTGCTTTTAATTACCACTGCTTTGTTTTTCTCCTACAGGTTCCACCAGTGTTAAAATGGCAGAGTTCAGGGCTGTATTGTTCAAGGCAACTGTTACATGCTGCAAAGGTAGGATTGAGCAGTCTCCTCTTTCTTTGCAGTTCTCCTAGGAATGAGAAATGAAAGCTCCTAAACTACCTACGAATGTGTTTCATTTTATCTGTATAATTTTCTTTCTCTAATTTTTGCACTGTGAAAGAAGCAAAGTCTTCAGTTTCTAGAAACTGAGGCAGATCTTCTGAAACCTTCTCCAGTTCCCTTCCACCTCTCCTAAAAATACACAAATCGTTGTTAATATAGTAATGTTTTGAAAAGTGTTTAAAATGTTCTTGCTGCTAGTTAAAAGACATATGAGTCTGGTGCTTTATTGTCTGATTTAGGGAACGTAATGCAGTGGAATCTGTAACTGCTCGACTTGTGGAACTTCAGCTTTGCAAATGTGCTGGCACCCACCGGGTGAAAAGCTTACTTGGGTTTTGTAGTGATGCATCTTCCTTGGTTAGTAATGGTGGGGGAAATTTTGAAGGTAAGGCTTGGTACTGCCTGACAGTATGAAACTCTGTAAATCTTTGAGTCATAGGATTACAAAGGCCTAGGAAGATTTGGAAAGACAGACAGTGGCTTGGATCCACTGAGCGTATCCATGGACAGAGCATCACTTTCTCCCACTGTAGTCCAAAATGCCCCCACTTCTGCTCTCCAAGAATTGTTCTGTCTGTTGGAAAGCTCTGGTAGATCCAGGCTGTATTGTGCCCTCCCATGCACACGCCCACAGTGTTCGAGGCAGCCTCTTTTTCATCAGCTCTTGACTAGGCACAATTATACTACAACACAAACAGCTGTTAATTGCTTTGGGGAAGTATGCACACCTGCTGTGCATGAATTCAATTGTTTCTGACCTGATCAGCACCACTCAGAGCATGAGTAACCTGTCAGAGCCACAGCTTTCCTCCTTTCCTGTTCCTCAGTGTGGAAATACTGGGGATAGAGAATTCTTATGGAAAAAATATTCTGAATGATCAGTAATACCCTTAAAGTAGTATCTTATTGCATTGATTCTCTTTATTCCTTCAGCGTCCTCTAATAATTCACAAGAATTTAACGTGAAGATGCTTTCTTTAAGATTCTGCCACTGCCATTCGTTTTATACTGCACATGCTCGTACTTTTGCAGCTCTGTACAGCTCCCAGGATAGTTAGAATCAGAAGATGCTGATCTTTCAGACTTGGAGTTTGATTAGAGACAGAAATTTGAGTTGCTGATCATCGAGACTTGCAGTTTGATTAGAGAGAGAAATTTGAGTTATTCTAGTATTTAAAAGTATATTTTGCTTGCTGTTTCAGTGACAGTGACTGGATAGCTAATCTTGTCTACAGTTACTATGTGTATGATGGCAGTCTGATGACAGTTACTACATGTGTATGATGATAAAGAGTGTGAAGTTACAGTGGCAAAATATCAAAATGTACTGCTAGTCTTTGATACTGTGCACTGTTAATTATGTTATTGCAGTGCTCATTTTCTGAGCTTTTTATAGAAATAAAAAATTTTCTCTCTGTGTAATAACATATGCATACTGTTTCTGTGGTAAAATAACAGAATCATCCTTAGAATCATGATTCCTTAGAATCATCAACCCCTTGTGGCAGCAGTGATGTACCTACAGAGCACATCTTCGCTTAGGCCCGTCGGTTAGTGATCTAAACTCGATATGCATGTGGATTTTAAAATCAGAAATGTATACTAATAACTTCAAAATGTATCCCCCAAAAAGCGTTAAAGTTCAGGGATATGGTTTAATTTTGCAGATGTTCAGATGACAAAATCCATTCTTTAAAAGCATCTAAGCAGCAGTAGCTCTGTTCACATGTGGTATCCTTCTCTAGGCATTTAGCTGTAATTCACACATTATGTGCCGTCATCTGGCAGAACATTTATTCAAAACAGAATATTTTCCTTATGCTTCTTTTGCTGTAACCTTCTGGCTCCTTCCTCAGTGCTGGAGTAGCTAAGTTTTCTGTGCAGTATTGCTGTGAATCAAAGCTTCCTGTGGCACTTGGGAGCATTTATCTGAAAGTCTGTATAAGTGTTCCACAGTGTTGTTGCGATGCTTTCCAGATTGCTCTTGGTGTTCTAGCATAACAGAGATATGAAAAATTTTGCTTAAAGTGTAGTTGTATTTTGAAAGCGACATTCGAAAATGCAGAGTTCCTTCTACTTGAAAACTGAAGACCTCAAGAATTAAGAAATAGTGCATTGATAGGTGTTGTGGATGGCAGTCTGTCAAGAGACAGCACAAGGATGGCAAATGCATGCATTTCAGAGCTTGTGCATGAGTTGGGAAGCTGCAGCAAATCTAATTTTCCCAACCGGTTGTCAGTTAATGGAACTGGATCCATTCAAGGTGCCAGTGCTCACTTTTAAAGGAGCGCACAGATGTCCATAATTTCAGCTGGAAGTGCCCTATGAAAGCATACACACCACCTATGATGCACATACAGCTTTCTTCCAAAGACTATTATCAAGAAGATTCAGGAGGGTAGCCATGTTGGTCTGAAGCAGCAGAGCAAAGTTTGAGTCCAGTAGCACCTTTAAGACCAACAAAGTTTTATTCAAGGTCAGGGTGGATTTGATTTAAATCAAATCGATTTAAATTCTTGGTGGTATAATCTTAATATTTACAACCAGATGAAGGTTTCATTTTTAGAATAACAACTTTTAGTTTTACAGTGTTATCAAAAAATTACTGATTTGGTTATACTATCAGAAGCACATTATAGATTTGTGGAGTGCCCCAAGGGGTGGTGTTTTCCCTGATGTTATTCAACATCTATATGCACCCCCTTGCCCAGATTGCCCAGAGGCATGGGCTGGGATGTCACCAGTATGCAGATGACACCCAGCTCTTATCTGTTGTTGGGTGGCCAGTCTGACTCTAGACTGGAAGATCTGGACCTGGCGCTACAAGCTGTGGTTGGATGGCTTAGACTGAGCCAACTGAAATTGATCCGATGAAGATGGAGATCCTGTGCCTGAGTCGAGGCGGCCCGGGGTTAGGGATCCCAGTCCCAATCTTCGATGGGGCTCCATTGGTGCCAATGCTGTAGGTTAGGAGCTTGGAAGTGCTCTTGGATGCCTCCTTAACGATGGAGGCCCAGGTAGCAGCCACTGATCAGGCAGCTGATTCCCTTCCTTGAATGCAGCGACTTGGCAGCAGTGATCCATACGATGGTCACCTTGAGATTTGACTACTGTAATGCTTTCTACATGGGGGTGCCCTTGTCCCAAATCCGGAAGCTACAGCTGGTGCAGAACGCTGCAGCCCGGCTTCTGATGGGTGTCCCCGTGCAGGAGCACATCCAGCCTGCGCTGAAATGCCTATAGCATACCAAATTCCCTTCAAGGTGCTGATTCTCACCTTTAAATCCCTTTATGGTCAGGGGCCTACATACCTGAGGGACCGCCTTTCCCCACATGTTCCCCAGAGAGCACTGCGATCAGGGTCTCAAAATCATCTGGTCCTCCCTGGTCCCAAAGATGTCAGGCTGGCCATGACCAGGGCCAAGGCCTTTTCTGTGGCGCCTCTGTGCTGATGGAACAAGCTCCCAGAAGACATTAGGGCCCTTTGGGACCTCTTACAGTTCTGCTGGGCCTGCAAGTCAGAGCTCTCCCACCAGGCTTTCAGTCAGGGAGCCGCTCCTAATCAATGTTCCCTCTAAGCTGCGGAGTCTTGTGAGCAAAAATTCTACTTTGTGAGCTACCGGCATTAAAGCTGCGAGCGAGCGATTTGGCTAAGGCAAAAATGTGTGAGCCGGAGGCTAAAAATCTGTGAGCTGGCCCACACTAACTCAGCTTAGAGGGAACACTGCTCCTAATAACTGAACATTGGCTAGGGGCCTGTCTCCTGGAACCACCATCGGCAGCCTGTCCCCCGCCAGCATAAATGGTTTGAGATCATAGCTTTAACATCAACACTGACTGTATTCCCATTATGACTAATCTGCTACTATGTTTCCGCCATCGCAATGCAATATTATTACCGTTACTAACACTTTATGATTGGTTTTATAATTGCTTTGTTTTATGTGTTTTAACTTTTAATGTAAGCTGCCCTGAGCTTGCTTCAGTGGGGAGGGCGGGGTATAAATTGAATAAATATATAAATTATTGCAAGGTGAACTATCTCCAGTTTAATAGGTTAATCATTCATATTTGGACAACTTTTGTGCTGTACTTTATTGGAAGGAGAAATATAATCAATACTTCAATAATAACTATCTAAATTATTTTATTTAACTAAAACAATAACATTATAGCACATGTATTCTTATATTTGCTTAAACATCCATGATGTTAACTGATGTGGCTAAACAAAATATCTTTAAAAAAAAACAAACTTAGACTATCAGCCAGATCCACACATAAAAAACTTAAAAATACTGACCTCTGTAGCTCACGCATCTTCATCTTCTTGTTTGTTCATGATCTGGAAAAAGAAAAACAACTTTCTTGATTTATTGGGTCCCGAATGATTTCTCAATTTAAAATGAATGAGTCCAAAGGAAGTGAATATTCTTTCTATGCCAGCAGAAGAAGCTACTGCTGTTAAAAGTGAACTCATTACTACTTCAACAGTCTCTAAATCCAAGTGCTTAAGTGACTTCCACCAGTTCCCTCGTGTGACTTTCTTTGAAACATCAGCAGCAAACATATATTTCTTGAATGGTTCCCCCTTAGCTCCGAAGTTTTTTTATAGTTGGCATTACAGATGAACAGTTGCTGGATACCCATGTCATAGCTAACGTCTCTTCCTCAGCACTTAAGGTTTGACCCTGGTACCGGGTGCTGACAATATTTGCCAGAAAATGAACTGGAGACAGTGCTTGTTGTCCCTTTCGCTTTTTTAATACTTGTAATTTAATTCTGTCAAATATGTAGTTCTGTTTTTAAGTGCTCACTCAGCTCCTTCCAAATTTCAACAGCATCAGCAAGGAAACAGCAATTTTTCTTTACTTTGTGTAAATCTTCAGAAACTTTGTGTAAATCTTCAGGATGCTCAGCATTTATTT